TTTTTGGGAACATTTCTTTTTTTTTAAAAAAAAGGAAGGTGTTTTTCCTTTAAGGGTTCTTCCGGAGGGGCCCTTGGGGAGGGTAATTTGTTCCAATTCGCCCCTTTTTTCCGGAAGCAAGAGGGGCACCCGAGGGTTTCCCCCCCCGGTGGGGGCAATAGGGGTATTGGGGGCCCGGGGGAAAGGCCGTTTTTCTTGGGCCTTGGCCCATTCAAGCAGGGGCGGGTGCCCTCCTTCCGCCGCCGCGGCCCCCGTGGGGGGGTTCCGGGGGCAGCCCAACTTCCTGGGGGGGGTTAGGGGGTGGGGTTTTCGGGTCCGGGGGAGGGGGGTGCAAACGCGGACGGGTTCCCGGGGGGGGCCCTTCGGAAAGGGGTGTGGCAGTTGGGCCAGGTTCAGGAGGGGTTTTACTTTTTTTTTTGTGGCCGAGACAGTTGTTGTTACAAAATGAGGGGGGGGGGGGGGGGGGGGGGTGCTCATGTAAATATATATGCCGTAGTCGTTGGACCTTGGCCAGGAGGGGGGGGTATACGGCATAGCCGTGCATGCCGCGGTCGTTAGACCGTCGACCTGGCATCCCTACAAGGGGGGGGGGTAGTAAACGGCTACCTTTCAGGGCCGGGTTGGCCCTGTGTGTGTGTGTGCGTTATCAGCGTGAATACTGAGCCGCATCCTAGCCCGCAGCCGCGCCCTTTCGTGGTTCGGTCGGTGTTTATTATGTGAGGCCATGGATCACCGTCGAGGCTAGCGACAAGGAAAAAACAGATGCGCAAGAGGAGGGTTACCTGAAATCTTAAATCTGTTACCACAATAGTTGGAGGTAGACATATGATCGTGCTTGACCATGGTTTTTTGGCGTGTTATCAGATGCTATCACGTGACGTCATGCAGTAAAAGATTTGGGCTTTATGCCGAGGCGTGTGCCCTTCTGTTCGGTGTGCGTGCGATCGGGTTGATCGTGTGCGCTTGGGGGTCTGTGTGCGTGCGTTGGTTTGGCTTGCGTTGGAAGACAACGGGGACGCATTAATCAAGAGGAGAGAGGAAAGCAACAATAATAACCTGCATCTTCTGGGGTCGGACAAAAGAGTTTCCACGCAACAGAAAGAAAGGTGATCGATTCTATCGGAGTGGTGTGGCAGTGGCATCCATTCCTGGCACACCCACCTCCGGAGCAGCTAGGGTGTGGGAGGTAGGTGGTGACCTTGGCCCGGTTGCTCCTGTCCCAGGCGCCCTTCCAGCTCCTGGAGACGAGGGCGAAGAAGAGGTACTGCCCCGCGTGGGCGAATTCGGCCACCGTGGTAATGACGCCGGCGTTGATGCTGTCGTTGCCGTCCGATGGGGAGAGCGGGTTCTCGTAGTCTCCTCCTCCTCCTCCTCCTCCTCCTCCTCCTCCTGCGGTGCGATCGCTGTCAACTGTTGCTACTGGCGATGGCTGCTGCTGCTGCTGCTGCTGCTGCTGCTGATGCTTGGCGTATGTGTTGGTGACCCCGGCGTCTTCGGCCGCAGTCGAAAACATGTCCAATCTTTGGACAGACAGATGAGAAATATGCAAAGCTGGGCGACAGATGGAGGGGGGGGGGAGGGTACAATTTTTTTATTATTTGCATGCATTTACGTTCATCGAACAAAAGGTGGAAAAGAAGGAGAGTGCTATCAAATCCTTGGGTGAGTTGCCATGAAGTTACCAAAACTTGTGTTGTTCCACGTGGGAAGGGGTAAAAAGGCATGCTACAAACAATCAACCGAAATTTCTGCGGTCGTCTGCTGTTGTTATACGTGTGGATAGAGCGACAGCGAGCATGTGTGTGCGTCTTTCTGCTGAGCGTGGACGTGGCGTCAACAACTTACACCCAATCGTAAGATGACGTGTAAACTACAGGTGCCGTGAGCGCGTGAGCACTGTGTGTGTGTGTGTGTGATAATCATCGGAATAATTTTCGCTTTTTTTTCCCTGCAGAAGTTTCAGCAGGGTAATATTCCGACACACATTATCGAAAGCCGGAATTCCCGCTCGCTGTGCCTGATGGCGACGCTGAACAGAGTATTGTAGTGGAACGATTGTTATTGGACGGAAGCCCCGTCCAACACACATGCCACCAACGTCTGAGCTACCACCCCTTGCACCAGCCTTCAACAGCAGTGTGGGGCACCGGAGCAACATGGTGACGGTCGTATGTATGCAGACCAAAATTTGATTCCCGCACCAAGGCTACAGGTAAATCACGATTGGTTGGTGCGCTGGCTCCGCCGCTTGCGCCGTCATGTCTCTCTCGCTGTCGCGCGTGCAGCAGCAGCTGCTAGCACGACCTCGCCCGCGCCTCATTTTGCCATTGTAATGGCACGGACGGTGCCTTTTATCATTGTAGCTGATCATGGCCCTGACAGCGTATTCTCTCTCCCTCACGAGCACTCGCGGAACGAACATCGCGGATAAAGCGCGAGAGCTGCTCTCAGTCTGTGTTTTATGATTTAGTCTAATAGTGTTCCTTGAAGGTCACCAGATGATGGATTCCTCGTGTTTCTCCAACTGGACCCTTATCCTTGTCCTTACCCTTCCACACGCACAACGGGGTACACTGAACGCCTCACTACTGCCATTCATCGCCTGGGCTTCCTGCTCGGCAATGTTCTTTTGGTTCAAGGCAGCGGCCCCGCTGTTGTTGTCGACAAGTTGTTGCAGCTTGCATAGTGCGGCAGCATGCTCGGTACATATTCTAGCACCCTTACTACCACAAAGTTTTCCGAATCACACACGCCCTGGCCTCCCTCCGCTCACCAGGTCGGCGGTGTAGACCCTTAGCCCTGCGTGTGCATTTGCTCCAGCCCTCTGCAGATGCTACTATCGCCCGCGTGGGTGATGGTGATGGGATAAGCTCTGACATACGCTGGGGGTAGCTCGGGGCTGCATCCAATCACTCCGGTTTCGAACTTCGAACCGCTGCACAGACCAATGGGATGTTGCCAAAAAAAAAAAACTCGACTGGTATTATCCTGGACACACACATGTATCCTGGACACAAGCATCTGTTTCATTTGGCAACCTGGCAACAACCCCATGCCTTTGTTTGGCATATGATAACGGGCACCACCTTGCTTGATAGACTTATTGGAACCCCGACATCGAGTTACACCAACACGTCACTTCCCCGGGACGGTGCACTGCTTCGTGTGCGAACTGAAAAGTATGCGAATAATCACGATGAGCTGGATCGCACGTCTTAATGATGCTACATGCTCCATCATGACTCGCGCGCAAGCGGCAAACGCGCTTGAAGCATGATGCCTAAAAAGGATTACGACAAGCAACCAACAGCCCCCCGGTGGGGGGGGGGGGTTTCTTGTTGTTTTTGTGCCGTTTTATTTTTTATGTTGTGTTGCTTGTGTGGGATT